GGGGGGGCCGAGTGGGGCACCTCGGGGGTGCAGGGGGGGGGTTTGGGGGTCCCCTGGGATGCAATGGGGGATCCCTTATGGGCGCAATGAGGGTCTCGTGGGGGTCCCTCGAGGGTGCAAAGGGGGTCCTATGGGGATCCCAGAGGGTCCTTTGGGATGCAATGGGGGGGGTCCCATGGGGTTACAAAGAGCATCCCATGGGGGATGCATCACCCGGCGCCCCGCTTCGGCCAAGCACCCCCCAGTGAGCCGCCCCCGGCCTTGGCGGTGTCGATGAGACCCCCACTCACCATGGCCGTCACCCCAGTGCCGCCGGGCCGGCCCCGATGGGGCGAGTGCCCGCTGAGCCCGGCACAGCCCGTGACGCCGCTGCGGCCTAGCGAGGGCGACGAGCGAAGGATGTACCTGGGATGGGAAACCAATGGGGCCGCGGAGGGACGGGCCTCCTCCTTTAACTCTTTCGGGGGGCCCCGAGTCCCGGCGCGGGGGGCTCCGCGTGGCCCGGGAGCATCCCCCCGAGGAAGCCCCAGCTGGCCGGCGGCGGGGGATGGGACGGCTCGGGGGCGGTGGGCGAGGCGCGATCCGGCGGGGCGAGCGCCCGCTGCTCCGAACAACCGCAGCCGCGCCAACACGCGAGCGTGTGACCGGCTCAGACACGCGGTGTGCGAGCAAGCGGTGCCGCCGGCTGCCCAGCGAGCCCGGCCTGAGGGGCACACGGGCGGGCGGCTGTGCCAGAGTGCGCACGGGTGTGCCAGAGTGCACACGGGCGGGTGTGCCAGAGTGTGCACGGGTGTGCCAGAGTGCACACGGGCGGGTGTGCCAGAGTGCGCACGGGTGTGCCAGAGTGCGCACGGGCGGCCGGGCGAGTGTGCGACAGCGCGGGCGTGAGCTGCTGGCACGGCGGCAGCTGCGTGTGAGCACACGCGCACACACTCGTGCGTGCCTGCAGTCGTGCAAGCGTGCCAGCCTGGGCTTTCCCACACCAAAAAGCACGGATGGCTGTACTAGCGTGGTAACAGCGTGGGGACAGGGATGGGGACACGCGGTGCCATCTCCTATCCTCGGTGGCTCCAGTCCCTGCCCCGCCCCGACGGGCTGAGCACTGAGCCGCTCATCATCACACTCACGGGGCTGCAAATCGCTCTGCGGGGCTGCGAGAGTGCTGGGGGTGCCAAGGGGTGCAGGGAGGGGGCAGCGGGAAAGGGCCCCGCAGGGATTGGGGGGCACCCCAAGGATCTGGGGGTCCGCGAGGTGTCGCGCCCATCCCCGTGGCACCGCGGCGGTGTTGGGGCTCCCTCGGTTGTACCCCGAGGCTCCCGGGGAGCGCATTTTTGGGCTGAGACCGCCACCTTCAGGGAAGCCACGCGCGGCTCCGCGGGTCACGGAGCCCCCTGGGGCCCCGCAATGGGGAAACTGAGGCAGGGCTGGGGGTCACCCCCCGGCCTTGTCACCACGGGTGTTTATTGTAGGACCTRCAGTAACGCCGCGGCATCGTAGCAGGGATCCCTCGTGGGCTGCTGTAGGAGCCTCTGTGGGGAAACTGAGGCAGAGAGACCTCCCCCCCGTCTCCATCACCTCTCCCAAGCCCTCGCTGCTGTCGCTGGCACGGTTTGGGTGGAAATAATGCAAAATCCAGCAAAACACACATGCACTCTCTACAGGGGGCACCCAAACTCCCAAGTGTGGAGCGCGGAGGTTTGCTCAGCGCTTTCAGCCAGGCTTAGTGCACCCCAGTCGTCCCAGTCCTCCCAGTATAACCCGGCAGAGGGCACCAGTAAGCCCAGTTTGTGGCCCGTTCGTCCCCCCCCCCCCCCCCCCTCCCCTTTCTGGCAGCGGGGAGAGGGTGGAGGAAGGGGAGGAGGAGGAGGAGGCGAAGGCCGGGTGCGGGGGGATTTAAGGGCTCGCGGTCCCCCCGGCCTGGCCTCCTCCCGCTGCCCAGAGGGACGTGGGTGTCGGGACCCAAGTTTGTGCGGGTGAGTGTGTGACACCCCCCATCCCCGGTAAGCACCCCGGGGCCACCACTGCCATCCCGGCGGAGGGGAGGGTCTCCGGGGAGAGAGGGGTGCCGGGGCTGCAGCGGAAGGGAGCTTCCATGGGAGTGTGGGGGTTGGTGGGGACAGGAAAGTGCTTTGGGGTCACGGGAGTGTGGTGGGGACATGGATGTGCAACAGGGACACGGACATGGTATGGGGACACGGGGGTGTCATGGGGATGGGGATGGGGACGTGTGATGGGGACATGGATGTGCAGCGGGGACACAGGTGTGCAACTGGGGCACGAGTGTGCAACAGGGACACATGATAGGACATGGGTGTGCAACTCGGGACATGAGTGTGCAACAGGGACACAGACATGCAGCAGGGACGTGGTGTGCAACAGGGACAYAGACATGCAATAAGGACGTGATGTGCAACAGGGACATAGACATGCAATAGGGACAGGAGTGTGCAATGGGGCCACGGGCATGTGGTGGGTGTACAGACATGGAATGGGGACACTGATGTGCAGCAAGGACATGGATGTGTGATGGAACATGGTCTGTGCTGGGGGCACAGGTGTGCAACAGGGTCAGACATGCAACAGGGATCCAAGTGTGTGATGGGGTTGGGAGTGGAGCCTGGGTTTGGGAACAGGTGTGTTTATGGGGACATAGAGGGACAGTGGGGACACGGGCACGCATGGGGGTTGTGTGGTGGGGACAAAGGGGTGTGGTGGGCTTGCAAGTGTGCAGTGGAGACAGGGACATGGGATGGGAACACAAACATGATAGGGACATATGATGGGGACATACTGGAGGTACATGGGTGCATAATGGGGACATGGGCATGGAAGGGAGACACACGTGATGGGGACATGGCCGTGTGATGGGGACCCCACTGTGCCAYGGGGGCCGTGCCGCCTTCCCCAGGTTCGGGTTGGTGACAGTGAGGTGACGCCTCATGGGGCTGATGGCCGGGGGAGGCGGGAAGGAGGTTGGCATGTCCCCAGGGGGTCACATCGGTGACTGCACAGGGAGGGACATTTCTTTCTGTCTTCGCTTGGGTGACCCTGGGGCAAAGGTCTTGGTGGGGAAACTGAGGCACGAGCAGGTGTCACCTGCCCTGCAGCTCTCTTTTGGTAGCACCCGCTCAGTGCCGCAGGATGAAGGCTCTGCTCGTCCTCCTCCTCGCCCAGTTCTGCTCATCGCTGGTGCCGGGTAGGTGAGGTTTGGGGAAGCAGCACCCCAGAAGTGGGTGCTGTTGGATGCTATGAGCCCGGTTCCCCCACAGAGAGGGAGAAGGACCCCGAGTACTGGCGGCGGCAGGCACAGGAGACCCTGCGGAACGCGCTGCAGCTCCAGCGCCTCAACCAGAACGTGGCCAAGAACCTCATCCTCTTTCTGGGGGACGGTGAGAGGGGAGAGGGGCACCCACCCCAGGGCAGGGGAGTGTGACTGGGGGGCACAGGGGGTGATGAAGTGAGTGCAGTGAAGTGGGTGCTGTGATAAATTGAGCGTGCAACACACTGGATGTTGTGAAAAAATAGGTGCTGTGGTGAGTTGGAGTCTGGGACAAACTGGGTGCTGGGACAAACTGGGTTTCCAGTAAGTTGGGTSCTGGGGTAGACTGGGTGCTGGGATAAACTGAATTTGTGAAGTGTTGGGTGCTGTAGTGAACTGGGTTTGCAATAAACTGGGTGTTGGGATAAACTGGGTTTCCAGTAAGTTGGGTGCTGGGGTAGACTGGGTGCTGAGTCTATGGTAAATTGGGTTTACAATAAACTGAGTGCTGGATAAACTGGATTTGCAAAAAAATGTTAGTTGCTGCAATGAACTGGATTTGCAAAAAAAAGTGGGTGCTATGGTAAATTGAGTTTACAATAAACTGGATGCCGGATAAACTGGATTTGCAAAAAAATATTGGTTGCTGCAATCAGTTTGGTTTGCATTAAGTTGGGTGCTGGGGTAGACTGGGTGCTGGTATGAACTGGATTCAGAGTAAGTTGAGTGCTGCAATAAATCGGGTTTGCAATGAAATTGGGTGTGGGGGCAAACTTGGTTGCAGTAAATGGGGTGTTGGCATAAACTGGGTGCTGTAATGAACTGGGAATGGATGCTAGGATAACTGGATTGGCAAAACATTGGGTGCTCAGGTAAATTGGCTTTGCCATAAGTTGGGTGCTGTGATAAACT